CACGAGGATGCACGTGTGGGGGATGGAGCCACCCCAGGAGCAGCACCCTGTGCCCGTTCCCCTTCCTTGTGCACAGCTACAACACAGGGAAGCCGTGCACAGGGAAGGGGAACGGGCTGGGGTGTCTGTGACCAGCACAGGGACAGGTCACTGACCCAGAGCACCCACAGCTGAGAGGTGGCACCAAGACAGTTGCAGGTGGGGCAATCAGGGCATGTTTAATAATGATGCACACAGGGAAGGACGGGAGAGAAAAGGAAAGGTCTGGTGTGCTATTTGCCAGCTGGAAACAGCAGGCATGAGCATCTCAAAGGCAGCTTTAAAGGGCCCCAATTCCACCAGTCTTGATGGAATCAGACTGGAAGGGAGGGCTAGAGCTGGTCCCTGCTGGAATAGGTCACAACAAGAGATGGGGTGTATCTGGAAGGGGGACAGGGGACAGGAGTGAGCGGTGCAGCTCAGCTGGAGATGTGGGACCTGCACAGAGCCACCGTCTGCACCCCCCGCGGCCAGAGCTGGGGTGACTCCATGGTGCAGAAATTGAACAGCCACAAAATGAGAGACTCTCCTTTGACTCTGAGTCAGAGTGCTTTCTGTTTAGAAGGCATGGGGAAGATGTTAGCAATGGAGGTGATCTCATTTCATAAACACCCGTCCTTTCGGTGACTGGCAGCAATGGCTGGGCTCGAACCCTGCAGAGTCTCCGTACCAGCCCGGCAACGTTCTTCTGGGCCTCAAAGAGTCATTTTGAGGGTCACAGACAAAGAATTATATGTCAAAAGCAGATCAAATAGGTGTGTGTGTGTACTCTAGCCGTACTTCTCCGTAGCAGATTTATCCCCTTGCAGTCAGAAGAATGAGACATTTAGGTCTCTTTATCAGTTATGAGCAAATAGCATGTTTTGCTCTCACCAGAGCACATCCCTGAAGGCAAACAGGGCTGGGGCTCAACAGCACCCAGCGAGCCACGTCAGAGAGGGTGCTCCTGCTCGTTGGCACCCCATAGTCCTTCCAGCTCCTGCTCCACATCGCCCTGAGATCCAGCTCGCCTTTTAACAGACACCCCTTTGGGTGGGATTATCTGAAGAAAATTTAGGGCTAGACTGTATGTGGCACAGACCTGGGTGTCGTCACTTTGTCTGAGCCAGCTAGGGCAGCATCACCTGGGAGAGGTGGAGGGCAGGCACAGGCACAAGGGGAAACAGCTTTCTCCTTCCTGGAGTGCCAAGGTGGAAGGAAACAGAGCTGGTGCTCAGCCCATCCAGCAGCAGGAGGTAAAAGCTGAGGTAATAATCTAATTAACTAATTGAAGGACCTCTGTGGGACCCAGGAAGGGAGCAGGTGCAGGTGCAGTAGGGGCTGGGTGTGATGCCGTGTGCTGGGGACACGATGCATGTTTGGGAAGATGTTCCCCAGTGAGCTTTTCACCTGGTCCCATTGGGGCTTGGGGGCTCTGCCTCCCCCCAGCTTGCTGTGCCTCCTCCCAGCCCTGGCTTTCTGTTGCCCTAGAGCTTTTGCACGGAGGATTTTGGCAACAAGATTATTAAGCTGTTATGTGTGGTTTGGAATATTTAGAGTAAACTGAAGAAGCACTAACTTTGATCAGTTTTTGAGCTGAACTATTTACGGATAATATTACCTCTCCCAGCAAAGCCTCTGTCCTGGCTCCCACTCCCAGTTCTGCCTTCATCCACCAGCCCAGCCCGTGGGGGTCTGTAGGACGACAGATGGTCCCTAGGAAAGGAGGTGCTGGGAGAATGACGGTTCCTGATTCCCCTGGGCTGGGGCATCTCGGAGCCTGCAGCTCCCGCTGGGTTTCAGGAAGGAGGAGATCTGCAGTAGATGGAGGAGCTCCCTTGAAACCAAAGTTTCCTCGAGCCAGACCCAGCGGTGCCACGTGCCCTCTGCTCGGGCACAGCCCATCCCACAGCTCTGCCAGGCACCCAGATCAGTTGTTTGCTCAAGAAAAATGCTGCTGAAACTAGTTCTCCTGCTTTTACACATCAACGTTTCCTCCCAGGAGGAAGGTGGACACTCAGGACCCCAGGAGGTAGATGAAGGGCTCCAGCGGGGGGGAATGTCTCCCAGCCCCACTCATGGCTGTGACGTGTACGGCAGCTGTGCAGGGAATGGGCACATCTGCCCATGGTAAAAGGTGAGCCACAAACACTGCTGTCACAGCGAGCAAAGCACCGCCACGTGTGGTTGCCTGTGCTCTGCTCAGTGGTGTCCAGAGGGCAGTGTCACCAGCTTGGCCCAAATCTCCAACCCTCTGAGGCTGTGCCCATCTCAGGAGCAGGGGCTTTCCAGACCAGGGAAGGTAGTGGACACTCCTTCACCCTCTTCCAGTGAAGCTGTGTGATGTGTGGAGGTGGCACCGTAGGAGTGGTGGCATCTTCTGGGCTCCAGGCGTCCATCCCACCAGCACAGGAGCGAAGGAGATTGCCTGGCCTGGAGATCTGAGCCCCGGCCAGGTGGCAGCAGGGTACGGGACAGGCACCCTGCGAGCTGCAGAGATGGGACCTGAAGCAGAGAACACCCAGGGACCACCGCACCCTCGATTTCACAGGGTGGTACCTTCAGCGCACCCAGAGGGAACTCTGGAACCACCATCCCTCCGGCTGCAGGGCAAGGTGCTCAGGAAGGTCGCATGCAGTGACGGCTCCCAGCACGTGTTTCCTCTCCAGCAGAGCTGCTTTGGCCTCAGCTGAGATAAGGCAGGTGGGAACTGAATCTTTCCCTCAAGATCACCCTTGTGATAGCTCTGGCAGCCTCTTATCAAGGAGCTGAATCATCAGGAAGCAGCTTCGCTGTGTTGCCTGGAGAGAGCAGATCCCTGCGGTCACCAGCCCTCCCGGTGCCAGGGCAGGGTTCTGGGGCACGAGGGAAGGGGTGCAATGCCCTGCTGAGCCGGGAATGCCTGCCTGGAGTGACAGGAGACTGCTGGCAGAGCTGGGGCTGCAAGGACCTGTCCTCCCCCCTCCCCTGGCTCTCCTCGAGGTCCTCATTTCATAGAATAGAATCATAGAATCATAGAATAAAAGTTTTGGTTGGAAGAGACCTTCAGGATAATCAAGTCCAACCTTTGTCCCAGCCCTACCAGCACCACTAACCCATGTCCCTCAGCACAACACCCCCCCGTAACCCCCCCCGTCTCTTGACCACCCCCAGGGATAGTGACTCAATCCCCTCCCTGGACAGCCTGTTCCAATGCCTGACAACCCTCTCAGTAGAGAAATTCTTTCTAATAACCAACTGAATCTCCCCTGGTGCAACTTAAGGCCATTCCTCCTTGTCCCATCATTCGCCACTGGGGAGAACAGAGTCCAGAGAGACCCCCAGCCCAGGAGCAGCTCGAAGCTGGGGCACACACTGGGAAGGGATGACGGCAGTGCCAGTTGGGACTCTTGGCCTCTCCTATCAGTCTCCTGGCTGGACCATCCTCCTCCTCTGAAGTGATATTCCTTCTCATTGTAGTAAGAGTTATTGTCAAGGCACCTGCCACCCTGCGCGTGATTTCAGAGCACTGGATACTGGAAATTGTCACTCTCACCTCTCACAGACCTTGTAGAGACTCGTAATGGAAATATGAAGAG